CAGCTCACTTATGGAGTTTGACGTGGGGAGGCAAGCGGTTCTGAGAGCTCTGAGGAAAACAGAACCAACTTCAGCGAACAGCCCGACTGAGCCAAAAACTGGAAAAAGATAAAATCGAACTCGAACCTATGGTAATCCGTTCTATGCACCTCTGGATCCTCTGTACCAAATATGAGGTTCCAACTTTTGCAGAACAGGGATCAACGCCTTCTCGCCGGACTTCTGAGCGGTCAGTACTGTCGGGACCAGATAATCTACGAACAAAGAAAAAGATTAGGCGTCACCCTAAATAGGTAAACTTACAACACATTGAGATGTTAAGCCTACTGATTATAATATTTCAGCCAGCCCGAATCTGCCACTTCAGATTCTCGACGGAGGCCGCTTTGATTTTCACGAAGAAGTATTTCAACTCCTAGTTTTCACATTTGTCGCTTATGGAGTTCTGGTCTAACCACGAGCACCCGGGACGTGCCGACACGTAAAACCGACCTGAGGGCTTCCGCAATTTCAGCTAGGTCATCGCCTCAAAAGTGTCGCAGTAACACCCCATCTCGTACTCGGCGGCCAACGTCAAGCATACCGCGATCGAGGCATGGGTGAGCTGGGAAATAGCAATGCCTCGCCGAGCACAATACTCGATCAGAATCCGAGGAAGCAGAAACCATAGCCCGCTCGACGTAAAGAACGGCTCATATAAGCATAAATACCCCTCTGGGGCGTCGAGGGGCGATCATCTTCTCCCAACACAAGGAACTCGACGCTTTGGGAAAGACGTCGAGCAGACCGCATCGCCTCAAGTGTGTCATGAGTATACGCGGTCTTTTGGTCATCACAGCGTACTAAAAAGATATGACGACCTAGACCCGGTCCCAGAGGGTCCTGCCTGCCCGGGGTGGAAATAAACAGACCGAAGGAGTCATGGTCCTCCAGAGCAGACAAAATAAAGCCTCGATGAGGTCGCGCGTGACTACGCCGAGCACCAGGGGGAAGGAGCCTGTGGCTTTGGAAGTTCCGATCCCAGTAGGACGTCGGTTCCCCTGTGGGCCTTCAACAGATTAGACTCGGCGTCATCCCCACTGGAAACACGAGCTTTACCCTTACGATGAACTTCAGCCATAGTTGCGGCCTCTAATAAAGCTAGGTCGTGAGAAGTAGACGCAGAAGACGAGCTGATTGGATCTCGATTAGAGGAACTTTTGCCGCTAGAGTCGATTTGAATCGAAGAGGTCATTAGCCGGACAAACCAGCAGACTCTTTGAAGATCAAAAGGAGAACTCAAACCAAGGTGACGGATCCTTTGAAGACTGATCGGAGAGCTTGAACCGAAGCGGCAGACTCTTTGATGGGATAATGAAATCTATCTAAGCGAAAAGCTAGAGAGGGGAGAAGAAAAATACCTTTAGAGAGAGAAGCGAAAGAAGCAAAGTGAAGCAAGGGAAGCGAGAGCCTCTCCATTTTATAGACTGAGATCGGAAGACGAAGCGTCGTACCTCGAGTGAAGCGCTAGGGCGGCAGAACGAACCAATCAGAGCTCGACTTCGAACTGGGCTTTATTTGCTTGGGCCTGGAACTGGTCTATACATTATTATGAGATTCTTATACTCATTTGGTCTAAATAAGGAGCGATAATCATCGCTAAACAATAATCGCTCTGACCTATGCAGTGTAGCTAAAGCCATTTCCTTTGGTCCTTTCTGCTCCAACTTGTTCAAAACAATTTCAATCCTCTTTACGTTGGATCGAAATATGTAAGAAACTAACACCTTGTAAATTGGAACTCTTTCGGATTCCATGTTTTCGCCGTCCATATAGCGATGATAAATGTTTATGAGGTCTACACGCTTCTTTATTTCTTCATATTCCATGATTTCATCGTCGCGTAAATTGTTTTTGAACTTTGAAACCAGCTTCGTTCGGCCCTCTCGCCATTCCATGTTTCTGTCTTACAAATTGATGCTTCCGAGTTATGAAAGCTCTAGTGTTTGGCGCTCCCACCACTCTGTCTGCAAAAAACTTCGATACTCTTTGGTATTCCATGTTTTTGTTGCGCAAATTGATGCTTTGTTTGAAAGCTCTGTTTGGCGGCCCTACCAATCTTCGAAAAACTTTTGAACTCCTTCGGATTCCATTCCGTTTTTTTGTTGCATAAATCGATGCTTCCGAGTTCTGAAAGCTCTGTTTGGCGCTTTGACCAATTCTTAAACTTAGTCTTTTTGGAAAGCTCCATTAGAGTTGTCTAGAGCAATGGAAGTGATAGAGAAGGTCAAATATTCTGACATAAACTAAAACAAATAATTCTTTCAAATACTTACCGGGAAGGCTTGGAGAAAAACTTTGAAGGAAGTCTGTCAGGATATTGTTTTGGGGAAGTGGAAAATGGAAAACCTGCAAGGAAGAATCCTCAAGATGCTACCCATTTGTGGTCGTTCAACAAGATGCTTCATGTTCAAGTCAAAGACAAGCACACAAACAAACCCTAAATAATACCTAATATTTTTTCTCAAACGGTCTCGCAACAACATATAAAGGGTCCAGCCAAAATCAATAATCACAACAAGTTATCTACCAAAAGAGATGACATGTTTTAGCCATCAGAATTGGAATTTTTGAAAAAAATCAAAATGGAAACATAAAGCATAAAGAAAAAGAACTTTTACTTTTAAACACACGTAATTAAGGAAGATTTGAGAAAACAAAAAAGTTGGCAAATTCAATTAATTTTTCTCAATGAACGTAAAATGTCGATAACGGTTTGGGAAGCATGGAGTTGTGGGACTATTGTTCAATGATGAAATTGTCCTCTCTATCTTTATGATCTCCCTGATTCCGCAACCCATGAGCCTGAGGCTACGGAGAGCACAAGTCGTTGGCAATGTCAATACTCTCACTGCATCAAGGTCTATAAATCTACATTTTGAATACAGTTTACAACATGTGAGAGCTTAACAATTGCTCCCAAATCATCCCTGACCTGATCTCAATGGTTAAAACTTCTAGATACTCTAGAAGTTGCAGCTCGTTCAATAAGCTCATATCTAGCGTAGTTCTGGATCCTTCTAGTTGTAGTGTCCTCAAACTCGACAGATTCAATATCTCGAAAAGGCCCTCAAGCTCTCCTGTGTGTTCCAAATTCAAATAAATTAGCTTTTTCATCTCTTGTAAACCAACTTGGAATTGCTTCACGTCTGTATCTGACAAATCAAGATAGCGCAAGGAGATCAACTCATATATCTGCTTCGGCAACTCTAAGAGATTTTGGTTCCCTGATAGATCCAAGATAACTAGCGTAGGAATATACCGGAAGAATTCATCCGAAATATGTACCAAATAATGGTTTTGCTGAAGGAATAAAGTTGTAAGTTGAGCGCATACGGGGCTTTCACGTATCTTTCGAATACTATTACCCATCAATGACATCTTTCTCACATCCTTCCAATTCTTGACTTTTGGTACTTTGCGTAACCCAACACCGGCATGCGCAATACATCTTTCTTTATGCTTCCCAAGATCAGATGCTATCCATAGAGCCATCTCACGAACCACATCATGCATACTCACACATGATTCATCCTTCATTACTCCTTCCAACAATAAACATGCACGGACAAGGGTACCAAGTATCTCGTAAACTTGGTTAATTGCTCTATCTCTACCTTCGTTTTCATCTATGAATCCCTCACATATCCAATAGTCTACCAAACTCTCTTTCTCTATAAGAAAATCTTCAGGAAAGAGAGAGCAGTAAAGAAAACATGATTTCACCACCTCTTCATTTAAACTATCATAGCTAAACTTCAGAATCGGAAGAATTTCATCCTTCATGCCTGCAAAATCTGTGGCCGATAATGTCAAAACGTCATTAGTGAAAGCACTGCTTTTGAGTCTCAAAATAGCATATCAAATTTGAGCATA